AGCAGGGTGGCTGCCATCCAGCCCAGCACACGAGGGTCGTGGGGTCCCTGCCTGCACCTCGACATTGTTCCCATCACCCCCTGCCCCAGGCCCAGCCCCAGCAGGGTTAACCGCCCTGGAGCCCCACTGTGGAGGAATGTGATGTCAGGGCTGGATTAGCCCATGCGGCCGAGATCCCAGCCGACAGACCAGCAGCGCTGAGCTGTGTGTGGCACAATCCATCAACCCGCCCAGCACAGCCCCCAGCGTGGGGGGCCTGGGGGAGGGCTCCGTGTGTGCATGCGCGGGGGCATCTGGGTTTCTGTAAGCACGTTTGTGTGAATGCACGAGTCTGGCTGTACACGTCTGCATGTGTGAAGAGGGATTTGTGTTTATGTGTATGTTTTGGGGGGGGGATGCTTGTGTGTATGTACTCACAGATCTATGTGTTTGCATGCATGCTTCCACATGTGCTCCTGCATGTGTACATATGTGTGGAATGTGCACATGTACATGTGTATGTTGGGAGCTATAACAGCAGCTAAGGGGGAGCAGATGTATGTTTGCAGGCCCAGTCACCCCAAACCCTTACTGACTGAAGAAGCAAGGGAGAGCCAGAGCAGAGAGCAGGGTCAAGCGGTGTGGCGGACGCTAAGGTGGGGAGACAGCCCAGCAGGCCACCACTGCAGGTCCTTTTCACCGCCTCAGGAGAGGTGGGCTCTAGCCCTGGGGTAGGCAAACCCTTGAACCCACCACTGGCACAGAGCCCTGCCAAAACCCCTGCAGCCCTCGCCTCAGCTGTCTTGTGACCCAAGGTCAGCCACGTGCCCAATTGGTTTAACCCTACAGAGCCTTAGGAAAAACATTGATCTGGCTTAAGATCTGCCTTCCCGCAACTGGGGCAGCAGTTCAGACAGAGCCGCGGCCAGGGCAGCTCTGCAGACACAAACAGGAACAGGCAGAAGCCCAGGCTGAGCTGCAGCACCTCAGCGCAAGTAGCAAGGCTGGAAGTGAGCTGCTGGGAAGCCAACGCTCCCTCCTGCCAGCGACAAGGGGACGCATGCTAGCTGCCTGCCAGGGCAGGGGGGGCTGGCAGTGTCAACACACCCCTCCCCAGCTATGATGTCTCCCGCACGCTATACAGCCTCCCCAAGCACCACAGCCGCGATCCTTGGGGTGGGGAAAGGCTACTGACGGTGGGGCAAAGACGGTGAAACTCCTCCCTGGAAGCAGCCCCTTTTCCCTGCCCTGAGACCAAGCTGGGGCCAGGCCAGACTGCACTGGGGAGCTGCTTCCCCTGACCCCCCA